TGGGAGTTGTGCCAAGATCTCTAACACTAATGCTCATGCCTGGGGGACCCTGCATTCTGAACAGAGTCCTCAGCTACCACTGCCGTGGGTAGATCCCATGCTTGGGTCTGACTGGTGCACTCACAGCCCCCAATACCCAGAGCCCTCCTCCCCTTCAGCCCTGCCCCCTTCATCCTAGCCAGCCTAGAGGACCAGTCCAGATGGTAGCCAACTGTGTCCCGTGCCGGGGGGCCATGGGCTCAAGTTCAGACGGCTATAGACCCAGGCAGCGCATTCCCCTGGACCAGGGATGTGATGCTTCCTTCACCCAACCCTCGGCCGGGCAAGCCTGGGCCCGAGCACCTCGAAGGTCTCAGTTACTAGGGTCTGAATCAGCAAACAAGGGGAATCACAATGGAAAGAACAAGCGTGTCATCACTGATTCCCTTGTGCTCCTGCCCGTGGTCACACAGGCATGGGGTCTCATGGTCATAAGACAACAGGGTCCCAAATACACCAGGTCCTGGGCACCGGGTCCCACTCTTGCATATGCCCACTCTCCTGGAGTTTGTGGAGAGGCCCAGATGGTCACTAACGAGCCTCATAAAGGCACAGTCGCTGAGCCAGCACGTATACAAAGGGTGACCGCGCAGCCCTGACTTCATACAGGTCCCTAAAGCAGGGGCGACTTATCCACTCGGCACGGTAGGCACAGGGCCACAGTATTTATACAAGCCCGCAAAAAATGTTTTAATCTTTTTTAATCAGAAGAAAATATTAATATAAAATAATGAATTCAGTCTAGATTATATCTGTCCTTACACCAATGGAGTTGTAATGTATATATATTTTTGACTGCAAGGTTGTGAGAGCTTAGTTCCCTAATCCGAACCCCTGCCCCCTGTATTGGAAGGGCAGAGTCTTAGCCATTGGACCACCAGGGGATTCCCTTAAAATGTTTTTTTTAAGAAAGGGGTCAACAAAAGCGAAAGTGCCTAGTGCCCACAGATGTCATAATTCAGCTCTGTGGGGAAAGCCCCCAGATTTAAGTATTACAGACAAGCCTGCCTTGTGGGTTCTGCCACGCAGACAGCCCCCATGCACTGCCTCCACTCCCACCCCATCCCAAATAAACCCGCCGGAGTCCTGATGCAGACAGTCCAGCCCCAGTGCTGACCGAGTGGGCGGGGCCACTTCCGGCCCAGTCCCACCTCCTACCAAGGGCTTTTTTTTTTTTTTTTGCTAGGAGTGCAGGGGTGGCTCAGCTGTCTGGCCCAGCCCTCTCACCCACGGCCCGCCCCTCAGCCCGCCCCCAGACTGGGTGGGGTGACCCCCTACAAAAGCTCAGCATTTCCAGCAGCAGTTTTCTTCCTCCAAGAGTGTCGGTGCGGCTGGGACCAGAGTTAAGGAACAGAATCTTGCTGATGCCTGCACAGGCCCAAACCCAGGGGTCAGGAAGTTTGGAGAATGAGGCCTTTCAGCCCTGAGGTCAGCAGGGACAAGTGGGCAGACTGGAGGGTGTACAGAAGGGCTGGGTTGACCTTTCCTGCGTCACTGAGCGCCCCCTTCTCCAACGGCTGGCCAGGATTCCTGGCAGAAGAGACAGGGAAGCCCCTGCCTCCATCCATCTGTCAGCTTGGGGGCTGAGGACCTGGCTCTCAGCCACGCTTCTCAAGACAGATGTCTTGGCTTCTGTGGCCCTTGGGGAAGTGGGGGTGGGCGAGCTTAACCAGACCAGACTTGGAAGGGAGACAGAGGCTGGCCCAAGAGGCAAGTCGAGCGTGCCCTCTAGTGGCTATGTTCGCCTCATTGCCTCTCCTTTGCCCTCTGACCACCCCTGAGCCCTGCAGGTCCATACTTGCCTGAAGCCAGAGCAGAAGTGGATTAAAGGGACTTGTCCTGCCTTCCCTTAGTAGGGGTCAGAGAGTTCAAGGCCTGCTCTGCACTTTGCCTTCCCTGGCCAGGTTTCCCTACACCTGCCGTGGGCCATGGCAGCCCAATTGCTTCCTGTCTGCACCTTCTTCCTGAACTTGCTCAGCATGACCCAAGGCTCCCAGGACCCTGTGGTACCCAACCAGCCCTTCACCACCATCTGGAATGCTAACACCGAGTGGTGTATGAAGAAACACGGCGTGGACGTGGACATCAGTATCTTTGATGTGGTGACCAACCCGGGGCAGACCTTCCGCGGCCCTAACATGACCATTTTCTACAGCTCCCAGCTGGGTACCTACCCTTACTATACATCTGCTGGGGAGCCTGTGTTTGGTGGCCTGCCCCAGAATGCCAGCCTGAATGCCCATCTGGCCCACACATTCCAGGACATCCTGGCTGCCATACCTGAGTTTCACTTCTCAGGGCTGGCAGTCATTGACTGGGAGGCATGGCGCCCGCGCTGGGCCTTCAACTGGGACACCAAGGATATTTACCGGCAGCGCTCACGGGCACTGGTACAGAAGCAGCACCCAGACTGGCCAGCTCCTCGGGTGGAGGCTGCTGCTCAGGACCAGTTCGAGGGTGCTGCCGAGGAGTGGATGGCAGGCACCCTCAAGCTGGGACAAGCACTGCGGCCTCAGGGCCTCTGGGGCTTCTATAACTTCCCTGAGTGCTACAACTATGACTTTAAAAGTCCCAACTATACCGGCCAGTGTCCACAAAACATCCGTGCCCAGAATGACCAGCTCGGGTGGCTGTGGAGCCAGAGCCGTGCCCTCTACCCCAGCATCTACCTGCCCGCAGCACTGGAGGGCACAAAGAAGGCACAGATGTACGTGCAGCACCGTGTGGCTGAGGCGTTCCGGGTGGCGGCGGGTGCTGGGGACCCCAAGCTGCTGGTGCTGCCCTACATGCAGATCTTCTACGACATGACTGAACACTTTCTGCCCCTGGTGAGTCTCCTGCAACCCCGCCCACCCGTGACCTACCTTGCCAGGCCTTAGTCCAGCACCTGAGGCCACACAGCCCTGGGGCACTTTAGCCTCGGGGCACCTTCATCCATTCCCTTTCATATTCTTTGAGCACCTCCTGTGTGCCAAGTTCTGTGCTAGCCACAGACGATTCAACATTCTTCAGAAAGAAATTGTCCCTGCCTGCATGGCACTCACAGGCTAGAAGGAGGGCAGGCTTGCCTCTGGCCCCCAAGGTTGGAGCAGCCCCCAGTGGGGGAGATGAATTATTTGTCTCATCCAACAGTGATACAGCAGCCTGCTGTGGGAAGCCAGGGAGGCCCCCTCAGAGCTATTCTGTCCTTTCCCCAGGAGGAGCTGGAACACACCCTGGGGGAGAGTGCAGCCCAGGGCGCAGCAGGAGTGGTGCTCTGGGTGAGCTGGGCGAACACAAGAACCAAGGTGAGCTCAGGCCCAGGATAGGGGTGAGAGTGGGGCAGGGGTGGGGCTGCCAGGCTGACAGCTGAGACCCCAGCCCACCTTTTACTCCTGCAGCCTTGGCTGGCCAGGAGGCAAGTGCTTCAGTGTCCTAGGTGGACCCATGCATGGCCATGGCGTCCCTGATGCTCCCCTTCCCACCTAGGAATCATGCCAGGCCATCAAGAAGTATGTGGACACGACGCTGGGACCCTCCATCCTGAATGTGACCAGCGGGGCTCGTCTGTGCAGTCAGGTCCTATGCTCCGGCCATGGCCGTTGTGCCCGGCGCCCCAGTTACCCCAAGGCCCGCCTCATCCTCAACTCCACCGGTTTTTCCATCAAGCCCACACCTGGTGGTGGGCCCGTGACCCTACAAGGTGCCCTCTCACTCGAGGATCGGTTGCGGATGGCGGTGGAGTTCGAATGTCGCTGCTATCAAGGGTGGCGGGGGACACAGTGTGAGCAGTGGGGCATGCGGTGACTGGCACGGGCACACACTGGGTACCTGATGCAGTCTGGGCCTGGCTAGGGCTTTCCCAAGTCAGGCACTCACAGGAGTCATGGCTACAGTCAGAAGTCCATTCAGCCAGTGTCATGAGCATACACCAGTGCGTGCACACCTGCTTACAGATCAAGATAGCTGCATAAGGAGTTAGAGCCCTGGGCATCCACCCGACAGAGTCAAAAATACTTCCTCCGGAGACATTGAGTCAGTCTTCAAACACAAGCAGCCCCAAGCACTGACATTCGGGACTTCCCTGGCCATCCAGAGGTTAAGACGTGGAGCTTCCACTGCAGAAGGCAAGGTTCGATCCATGGGCGGAGACTAAGATCACGCACGTTGCGTGGCGCGGTTAAACAAATAAATAAACTGACATTCACTGGGCGTTACTCTTTCCAAGTCCTGTGCTAAGCATTTTAAGTAGGCTAACTTAACTGTGCAATCCTAACACGATGCTGTGAGGAAACTGAGGCACGCCCACGGAGGGTAAGCACTCTCCCCAAGGTTGCACAGCCAGAAAACAGAACAGCTGAGATTCAAGCCTGGGCTGCCTAACCAGAGGTACAACCTTTTGCCTCCAACTGATAAATCGGTGGTAACCAGATCTGCACTGAACTCTGAGTCCGTTCAGAGGTAGCAGCCTCGCAAATAAAACAGGATTCTAACTTCAAAAACTGTTGAGGGCCTAAAACGTCCAGGCGCTGGTACCCAGAGGGTGCTGGAAAAGTTCTTTTCTCTCACTCAGATCTGATATGTGTCCGAGGGCGGCTGCTTCCCCAGTGTGGGGGCCAAATCTGAAGTAGAAGCTCCGCCTGATCGTTTTCACGCCGCGCAGGAGGGATAGCGTGAGCCCAGACAAAGCTAAACTTTGGGCGAGACCTATCTGAGGTTGAGGCAGGGCGAGGACGGAAGCCCAGCCAACCCGAGATGGAGCCAGGGTCACTGGGAGCGAGGCTACGATAAACCAGGGTGGGAGGGACAGAGCTAGAGACCCGGTAGAGACCAGCCTGCGTCTGGTCGGTGTTACCACCCGCCGGGTCGGGGGCGGGGCCTAGGTGGAGGTACAGGGCGGCCGGGGCGGGGCCTGGGACAGCTAGGTGTGCCGCGGCCCGGGACAGCTGCAGTTCGTCCGCCATACCGCTAGGGGGAGAGCGCTGGGAGCCGGAGGGGTCCGAGTCAGAGACAGCGAGATACCGATCCAGGAGAAGAGAGGACGCGGAGCATCCCGGAGCCCGGCAACAACATGTCAGTACTACCCCGTCCCCACGCGCGGCGTTCGTCTTCACTGTCCCCCCGCTCTCCCCGTCCGCCCCGCGCGTACAGTTCTCAAGTGACTAAGCCGCCCCGCACGCCCTACCTGCGTCTTTCGTTCCCTCCCAAAGCTTGCTGAGCCACACCCTCCCAGGGTCTAGCTTCCGAAGCCCCCACCCCCAGACTCCACGGTTTGTCACCCACTGGGAGGAAGGGGGAAATCGAGGCAGGAGAGACTGCCGCCTCTCTCGGTGGACCCGGGAGCCCCGCCTCACAGTGGGTGGGGTCGGCATAGAAGGGGTTAAGGGAAGTCTGGGGTTCCAGGCCCAGGGGGCGGATCCTGGGGCTTCCTCCCTCCTGGTCCAGGGGTGCAGCTGCTGCGGAGGTGGCTGATGCAGGTGAGAGGCTTATAACCCTCTGTGAGGGAAGGGGTATGAGGGAAGGGGGCTGCCTGTTACCAGTGTGAAATTGGCCTCAAGCTCACGGGGTCTTCCTGGGGAGGTGGGGATAGGGAGGGAACCAGCGCATCCCCTCTGAAGCAGGTGAGTAGAAAGATGGGGCCCAGAGGCTACCTGTCGCTAGAAATCCCCCAGCATAGACCCTCCTACCAGCAGAGCCTGAGGTGGGATGGACAAGCAATGGAGTTTGGGGGCAGGAGGTCTGAGCCCCCAACCTGCTAGCCGTTAGACACCCCTGTGGGTGTAGGAAGGAAGCTGTGGTTCTTATCTAGAGTGGCTACGAAACAGACCAGTGAGGAAGCAGGCCAGCAGGAGCCACGTTGCTGTATGAGCCAGGCCCCTTCTGAGGGGCAGTTGGGTCCGCACGCAATCGAAGTGTCCCAAGCTGGGCCGTTTGGGGGAGGGAGCCATGGATTCTGTCCCCTAGGCAGGGAAGGCAGTCCAGGGAGGGGACATTTGAGCCTGATGGGTGGGTGAATGGCAACCCAGGATCTTAAGTGGCCGGCGTGGCCCAGATGTTCAAAAAGGCTAGGACCTGGAGTAGGGAGTAGGGAGAGGAGAGTTCCTGGGGTAGCTGGGGTTAAAGCAGGGGGTTGTGGCATCTGGTTTGCATGTTCTGTCTGATGGCCAGCCACCTGCAATGGTGTAGGGTGGAATCTACTGTCCTAGGGAGGACAAAGTGGTAGCCAGAGCAGACTGGGGCCAGGCCTCTTGAGTTCTTGGGGCCGGCCCTAGCCTTTAGCCCTCAGCCCCCATCCAGTATAAGGCAGAGCACCCTGGACCCACCCCCTCTGCTCTTCATTTGAGTCAGCGCCCCCAAGTATAAGGGATGGGATCCTCCAGGTCACCTGGGCCATCAGATGAGATCCAGGATGCATGGCCCTCCCTAGCACTCTATCAGCCACTCCCTGCCCCAACCCCATCTTCCTTCTGGCACAGCCCAGCATGGCTGTTATCCACAGGAGCAGCAACCTTGTGGTCTGAGGAGACCCCACTGCCTGGAGACTGTGGCCTTAATCCCCTGCCTGGCCCTGAGCCATCTGTACCCCAGCAGGAGATGACCCTGGCTCCCAGCCTGACTCAGCTGGGCCTGGATCCTACATGTAGGCGAGAACTGACTCTGAGCCCTGACCGAGGCATGCTGATCCATAGCCTAGACCCTGTGGACCAGGTGGGGCCAATCCTGAGTACCCGCCCAGCCCAACTGACTCTGGATCCTGCATGCCAGCCAGAGGTGACCCTGAGATCCAACCTGGCCAAGCTGACCCTGGATCCTGCACACCAGCCAGAGCTGACCCTGAGCCCCAGACTAGCTGAGCTGACCCTGGTTTCCGCATGCCATCCAGAGATGACCCTCAGTTCTGGCTCAGCTCAACTGATCCTGGATCCTGCACGCCAGCCAGAGGAGACCCCAGTCCCCAACCTGGTTGAGCTGACCCTGGAGCCTGTGCACTGCCGACCCGAGCTCCTGGATGCCTGTGCTGACCTCATCAACGAGCAGTGGCCCCGCAGCCGTGCCTCCCGCCTCCACTCCTTGGGCCAGTCCTCAGACGCCTTTCCTCTCTGCTTGATGCTGCTAAGCCCCCGACCCACATCAGAGGCAGCCCCCATTGTGGTGGGCCATGCCCGCCTGTCCCGGGTGCTGGATCGGCCCCAGAGCCTGCTAGTGGAGACCGTGGTGGTGGCCCGGGCACTGAGGGGCCGTGGCTTTGGCCGCCGTCTCATGGAGGGCCTTGAAGCCTTTGCTCGGGCCCGGGGCTTCCGCCGGCTACACCTCACCACCCATGATCAGCTGCACTTTTATGCCCATCTGGGCTACCGGCTGGGTGAGCCAGTGCAGGGCCTGGTCTTCACCAGCCGGCGACTGCCTGCCACCCTGCTCAATGCCTTCCCCAGGACCCCCTTTCCCCGGTCACCCTGCACGGCCCCTAGCCTGACTGCCCAAGCTGCCCCAAAAGTCCCCAAGGGCTCATCATTGCTGCCACCCCCTCCCCTGCCTGAACCCCCGACCACCTTACCCCCACCTCCAGCAGGGCCCCCTCCACAAAGCTCCCTGGAGACACAATACCAAGACCTGAGAGGACGCCCCATATTCTGGATGGAGAAAGACATCTGAGGCTATTCCCAGGGCAAGACGCTGTCTTTCTGGGTCAGTGACTGCCCAGGACAGTAGCAGCTTCAGCCCACTGGCCATCCCTCAGCTTCTAGCCCCTGAGGGCGGCTTCAACTGAGGCCTGTTTCCTGAGTGCCAGTGGAGATGGGACCATGGCTGTGGCTCAGAGCTCTCAGTATGGCTGAATAAAGGCTTCTGTTGGGTGTGTCTGTGACAGTGTATTTGTTGACCCCCACCCTCATCTCCCAGTCGTTTCTTAGGTCCGCTATCCCTGCAGGAGCCCCCAGATGCACCTAGGCCTCAGGGCCATGGATGGAGGGAAAGCCCTTTGCTCCTCTCATTCTGCCTGCCTCAGGTGTCAAGGTGTTTCTTTACACCTTCACTCATCACCATTCCCCAAGCACCTCCTGTGTGACAGGCCCTGGATTGGGCACAGGCAGGGAGGAACGAGACAGATACAGTCTCAACTCAAGGGACAGGGCAGGCGTATAGTGACAGGGCCTATGCTGGGACAGTGGGAGCTCAAATGTCCTCACTCCACTTGCGCCAGAAGATGATGTCATAGCAGAGACCTGAGTGCTGAGTAGGAATTAAGTCAGGCAGAGTGGAGGTTGAGTGTTCTTGGGGCAAGAAACATAATGGGCAGAGGACAAAAGGGGACTTGTGAGAGCTGAGGGTGGGAGAGGTGTCAGAGGGCACAGTGGTGCGACGGTAGAGATGGACAACACCAGAAGGGAAACGGCCAGGCCAGCTTGGGCTGCGGTTACTCTGAGAGGTCTACGAGACCCCTTAGGAACCATGCTTCGCTCACCTTCCTTCCTTGTGAGGAGGAGCTGGAGGAGTCTTCCCAGCTTGATCTACTGTGGGGAAGGTGTGGCCATGGCCATGGACTCTTAAGCTCACACCCCCTCTCTCCTGCAGGTTTCCATCCCTGGGGCATGACCATGCAGCTAGGCCTGGCCCTGGTGCTAGGAGTGGCCCTGTGCTTGGGGTGTGGCCGATCCTTGCTGCAGGCCCCTGCACGCCCCTTCTCGGTGCTGTGGAACGTGCCTTCAGCACGCTGTAAGAACCGCTTTGGCGTGCCCCTGCCACTTGAGGCCCTGGGCATCTCAGCCAACCGTGGCCAGCATTTCCACGGCCAGAATGTCACCATCTTCTACAAGAACCGGCTTGGCTTCTACCCCTACCTTGGGCCGAGGGGCACAGCTCACAATGGGGGCATCCCACAGGCTGTGCCTCTGGACCGCCACCTGGCACGGGCTGCCTATCAGATCCGCCGCAGCCTGTGGCCGGGCTTCGCTGGCCTGGCAGTCCTGGACTGGGAAGAATGGTGTCCACTCTGGGCCGGGAACTGGGGCCGCCGCCACGTCTATCGGGCTGCCTCCTGGGCTTGGGCACAATGGGTATTCCCCAACCTGGATCCCCAGGAGCAGCTCCACAAGGCCCGCGTTGGCTTCGAACAGGCAGCCCGAGCACTGATGGAGGACACGCTGCGGCTCGGCCGGGCGCTGCAGCCCCACGGGCTCTGGGGCTTCTACCGCTTCCCAGCCTGTGGCAATGGCTGGCGTGGTGCGGCTTCCAATTACACGGGCCACTGCCATGCCGCTGCCCTGGCGCGCAACACCCAGCTGCGTTGGCTCTGGGCCGCCTCCAGCGCCCTCTTCCCCAGCATATACCTCCCACCCAGGCTACCACCTGCTCACCACCAGGCATTTGTCCGCTACCGCCTGGAGGAGGCCTTCCGTGTCGCTGTCGCTGGGCACCCACATCCCCTGCCTGTCCTGGCCTATGCCCGCCTCACACACCGGAGCTCTGGGAGGTTCCTGTCCCAGGTGAGTGAAAGCTGAAATGTAGGGGTCTGATGGGGAGGCATGACATTCTCTGAGTGGAGGGCCTGAGAAGCCACTCAAAGAGGCTCAGGGCCAAGGGGTCCTCCTCTAGAGGTGGAATCAGATCATGCAGTGAGCCATGAAAGTTCTTGAAGGTAGAGTTAAGGACAGAAGGAGCTGGGCATTCCTGCCCTGGCTTAGCAGCTCTCTGCCCCCAGGATGAACTTATGCAGACCATTGGTGTGAGCGCGGCACTGGGGGCAGCCGGCGTGGTGCTCTGGGGGGACCTGAGCTTCTCCAGTTCTGAGGTGACCACTGCCCCCCTCCAGCCTGCCACACAGCCCATGCTGGGGTCCCAGAGATGGGGATAGACCATGGCAGGGCCATGAGACAGAAGCATTGATACGTCCCTCCCTTCTCAGGAGAAGTGCTGGCATCTCCATGACTACCTACTGGGCACCCTGGGTCCCTATGTGATCAACGTGACCAGGGCAGCCGTGACCTGCAGTCACCAGCGGTGCCATGGCCATGGCCGTTGTGCTTGGCAAAACCCAGGACAACTAGAAGTCTTCCTGCATCTGCAGCCAGATGGCAGCCCTGGTGCTTGGGAGTCCTTCAACTGCCGCTGTTACCAGGGCTGGGCTGGCCCTACCTGCCAGGAGCCCAGGCCTGAGCTTGGGCCTGAAGAAGCAACATAAAGCCAGGAGTCACCTGCCCCTGACCGTCTTGTTCCTGCTACCATTTTTCCAGTCCTGGAGGGAGGACTTTGTCCCCGTCTTGTTCCCTGTAGCTTACTGTCACTTCTCCCACACACATACTCCACTTCCCATAGCACCCCTGGGGAGTGGAAGAGGCCAGAAGAGAAACACCATTTTAAAACCAGAGGCCCTCTGATCCCACCTGACATGAAAGCAGCCCCAGGAAAAGTCAGTATGCCAAAAGGTTAAGGTTACCAGCCCAGGGCTCTGTTCTACACCTCACTGAGTCTGCGCAGAGGTCACAGGAGACCCGTCCAGGGGCAGGGGGTGGGGCCCCGAAGGAGATTCTGGCTAACATCTGTTAAGTGGTAAGTTGCTGTCTCTACTCTGCTTTCATCATAAAGTTACTTTTTCTCTCACTGCATGAGGTTTGGGTGGTCCCGAGTTCTTCCAAACCCACCACCCTTCCCGTGGTGAGCGTCCTGCTGCAAAATGCAGAGAGATGCGGGGCCTGCGTGGTGGACAGCAGCGTGCGGGCAGCTTCAGAGTTAATGACTACACGTGCTGGGGGGAGGGCGCAGGGCATTGTGGGTGCATAGTTCAGCTGGGGCGCTGTGGGCTTATAGGCCCCCCGGAGTAGACTACAATTCCCGAGGTGCTCTGCGCCCAGCCCGGCGCCGGTAATTGCGCACGCAGCACCTTGGGAATAGAAGTTTCGGCCGCATGGATGCGGTCTGAGCCGAATGGCCAGGGACTCGCCTTCCCGGTCACCCATTTAGCGGGGCGGGGCGCTTCGACCCATCTGGCAGGGCGGGGCGCCTCGCGAAGATGGTGGCGCGCGCAGCGTGTGGCTCCCGTCGTCTGCCTAGGTCTCAACTCAGCGCACCGGCCGGCGACTCGCTGGCCTGGAATCCCCCGCCGCCGGGTCCCTGACCCCGCGCCCCGTCGTGCCCGATTTGCGGCATGCCCCGAGCCCGAAAAGGCAGCGCGCCCCGCAGAGGCGGCCAGCGCCGCGGAGGAGGTAAGTTGGGGTGGGGTGGGTGGCGGGGCACGGGGCAACTGAGGAACGTCAAACTAGGGTCCTGAGTGGGTTCCCGTCAGTGCCCCTTAGAGTTTTCGGGTACAGACTCCTGCCTTGCCCAGTCTGGTGCCGCCACCTGCAAACTCCCCCCCGTGACGGGCACGTGCCCCAGAAGTCAGCGGCCACGTGTGCGCCTAACTTGAGCGTGCTGCCCGCGTGCCCGAGCCCTCGCTCCGGCTCGCACCTGGTCCGCACCTGCCGGCCTTGGTTGGTTTCTCATTGCCTCTCTACCCAAGCTGTCCGCTGTTCTGGACAAACTGGCCAGACGGAGCTGGAAGCCTGTCCGCTCTCCAGACCCTGATCCTTCCCCAGACTGGACTAGGAAATTGGTGGGAGACCTGGCTTATCCTGGAGTACTGAGAGATAGGGTGATGGGAAAACTGCAAAATTTGGGGCCTTGACTGCCCGGCCCTAGAAGGCAGATGAGCGTCCTGGGGCCCGAGGCAGTCCTAAGAGTCGCTTATCAGGTCGACCAGGAGGTGCGGCATATGTCCTGGTACAGTAAACACGTTTGTGTTTACTCAGCAGAGATGGGGTGCCTTTTAGGCATGGCTGAAACCTGGCCACCATTTTAATGGGGCTTGGATGAGGATGTTACCGAACCGCCCTTGGATTCACTTGCCTGGGAGCAATAAAGCCAGTCTACTGATGAAACCGCAGAAATGCGGGGCGCGGGGGTGGGGGTGCGGAGGCGGGGGTGAGGCTCTGAGGAGCGCTGGTTCTTTATGTCTCAGAGTACAGAGAATTCAGCAGGAGTTGAAAGTGACTCCTGCTGAATAATAAATAAATAGTCAATAAATAAAAATTGACTTTTTAGAATAGGGCACTTGAGAGGCCTACAAGTGGGTGGGTGAGAAGGTGCTGCCCCAGGAACTTGGTGGGTATAGTTTTATAATCAAAGGAAGAGTGGGGAGAGCAAGAAGACCACCTTCTTCCTCATTCTTGAGGAGATGTCTTGCTTCCATCATCAGTTCCTTCTGCACATGGGATAGGGGAGTTTTCTGGCCCCTACAAGGTCAAATCAGGGCTGTCATGGTGCAATAGGAATGAGCAAAAAGGCAGTAACCATATACTGAAATATGATAAGTCATTTCAGGTTTTAGTGTAATGTCACTCTTTCCTTAATTTTTTTCTTTTAGTGCACTCAGGGAGCATGTCCTAGGAATCATTGGGCTGGATGTAGATTTCCTTCTACCATTAAAACAATGGTTGTTTGGGGGCATGCCTCCTGCTTCTGTTTCATGATTTTATGATTAAGCAAACCTGCTTGCTTTCTTTTTTTTAAAGGTGCTTTCTTGAATGATGATTAACTTAAAGCAGTCTCCCATAGTTTTTAATTTAACTGTTTAATCACCTACTTTTGGTCTTTTTGCTGTCGTTCCCTGCCTCCAGGTGTTTATCCCTTATTCTTAAAGGGGGTTAAGGGGCAACAAACTTAACTGCTTTCTGCTGAAATGGGATGTAGACCTCCCTGGGGAAGAAGTGTAAGACCTGACTGAGTCTGCCTTCTCTTTTGGAAGAACTGTAATGCTAACTCTGGCTGTGTGTGTGTTAGTCACTCAGTCATTTCCGACTCTTGGTGAACCCATGGACTGTAGCCCACTGGGCTCCTCTGTCCATGGAATTCTCCAGAATACTGGATCAGGTTGCCATTTCCTTCTCCAGAGGATCTTCCTGAGCCAGTGATTGAACCAGGGTCTCCTGCATTGCAGGCAGACTCTTTACTGAGTACTATTCTGTTAGCCCTTGTGGGTGTTAAACATCAGAGAATGAGTTTATAGAAGATACAAATGAAAAGAATTAAAGCAATAGACATTAGAAGAGTTATTAAAAGAGATTGTAGCCACAGTTTTGGAGACCCAAACCATATTTTCCAACTTCCATATCTGGAGAGGGTTACTTGAAGCCTCACTTGTTTGCTTTTGGCTAGGCCCAGAACCTTAATGTTTTATACTTCAGGTTTTATACTTCAAAGTCTTTTAGTTATGGATTTAGTCTTGTTATTTAAAAAAAATTTTTTGTTCACATCATTTAGTGATAAGGGTGGCTTCCTTGTCCTTCGAGAAACAGAGTGGCCCCTAATTTAGTTAATAAGTCCCATCTATTAAAGGGAGAGGACAGTCCGGCACAAACAGAAAGGAATGTAGAAATGACTGGCCACTGATGTTGTACAAAAGGGGTTGCAGGAAACTGCACCCGTGTCTCTTTACTGACACTCCCACTACATATTTCTTATGATTGTTAAGGCTTTCAGTCTTTAGCTTAAGACTGAGAGGGTTGCCCTGGTGCTTATGAGAGATTTTATCAAGTGGCTCACCACATCAATGACCGCCTGAAACTTGAGGCTCACCATGAGTTAAGTAGGTGGTATCTCTACCTATAGCCACTTTTGGTCTTGGGCTCCCTCAGCCTTTTGATTATAAAACCATCAAAAGCTTATGGGTCCCTGTCCCTTTCTGGCATCCGGGGCTTTCCCTCTGCCAAAGCTCTGATTGTTCTCAAGGCGGATTGAGCACCTTCTTTCCGTCAGTGCCCCGTTTGTCCACCCAGGGTACACTGGTTTTGTCTGGGTGCCCATGAGCCTTACGGTTTACCACAGCCAGTTTGGCCTGCAAAGGCCAGCCTCGCCTTCAGTGGTTTTTCAATGGACAAAGCCACTGCCAGCGTTTGGTCCTTTTGTATATTTCTTTGGGTGCCTTTGGTCTCTTAGTTTATATTCCTATGATTGAAAACTGAATAAACCAACTGGAGCAAGTCACTTACAGGGGTCTGAGGACTGGTAGTTGCGTTTTGAATCCTGCACTGATGTCTGGGGTGGACTGGGCTATGAAATGCATAGCCTGAACGGCCTGTGCCTGGAGGAGGGAGGGATCCACATTCATATACTTCTTATTTATTTATCTGGCCCTGCCTGGTCTTAGTTGAGACACCTGGAATCTTTAGTTGCAGCATGCAAACTCTTAGTTGTGGCATTTGGGATCTAGTCCCCCGACCAGGGATTGAACTCACATTCCCTTCATTGGAAGTGCAGAGTCCTAAACGCTTGACGACCAGGGGAGTCCCTGTTTGTAAACTTTTTCATGATGGCCCTTCTCACTGGTGTGAGGTGATACCTTGCTGTAGTTTTCATTTACATTTGTCTAAAAATTAGTGATGTTGAGCATCTTTTCATGTGCTTTTTAGTCATTAATATGTCTTCTTTAGAGAAATGTCTATTTAGATATTCTGTTTGTTGTTGTTTTTTTAATATAGAACTGTATGAGCTATTTGTATATTTTGGAGATTAATCCCTTCTCGGTCACTTTGTTTGCAAATATTTTCTCCTATTCTATGGGTTGTATTTTTGTTTTGTTTATGGTTTCCTTTGTTGTGCAGAAGCTTTTAAGTTTATTTAGGTCCCATTTTTAAATTTTTAAAATTTTCATTATTCTAGGAGGTGGATCAAAGAAGATACTGCTGTGATTTATGTTAAGGAGTGTTTGCCCTATGTTTTCCTCTAGGAGTTTTATAGAGTTTGGCCTTACATTTAGGTCTTTAATCCATTTTGAGTTTATTTTTGTGTATGGTGTTAGTGAGTGAAGTCATGTCTGACTCTGCGACCCCATGGATATACAGTTCGTGGAATTCTCCAGGCCAGAATACTGGAGTGGGTAACCATTCCCGATCTTCCCAACCCAGGGATCAAGCCCAGGTCTCCCGCATTGCAGGCAGATTGTTTACCAGTTGGGCCACCAGGGACGCCTGTATGGTGTTAGAGGATGTTCTAATTTCATTCTTCTACATTGTAACTGTCCAGTTTTCCTAGCACACCACTTACTGAAGAGACTGCCTTTTCTCCATTGTATATTCTCGCTTCCTTTGTCATAGATTAATTGACCATAGGTGCATGGGTTTATTTCTGGGTCCACTGATCTGTATCTCTGGTTTTGTGCCGATACCCTACTGTTTTGATTACTATAGCTGTGTAGTTTAGTCTGAAGTCAGGGTGCCTGATTCCTTCAGCTCTGGTTTTCTTCTCAGGATTGCTTGGCTATTTGAGGTCTTCTGTGTTTCTATAGAAATCTAAACGTTTTGTTGTTGTTGTTCTAGTTTTGTAAGAAATGCCATTGGTAATTTGATAGGGATTGCACTGAATCTGTAGATTGCATTGGGTAGTAGAGTCATATTTTGACAATATTGACTCTTCCAGTCCAAGAGCATGGTGTATCTTTCCATCTGTTTGTGTCATCCACAATTCTTTCACCAGTATTTTCAGAGTATAATTCTTTTATCTCCTTAGGTAGGCTTATTCCTAGGCGTTTTACTCTTTTTGATGTGATGGCAAATAGGGATTTCCTTGGTTTCTTTCTTAAAAAATATTTATTTGGCTGCACCAGGTCTTAGTTATGGCACGTGAGATCTTTGATCTCTATTGTGGCAAGCAGAATCTTTTCATTGCAGCATGTGGAATCTAGTTCCCTGAACAGGGATTGAACCCAGGCCCCCTGCATTGGGAGTGTGGAGTCCTAGCCATTGAAGGCAGGGAAGTTCCATGTTTTCCTTGATTCCTCTTTCTGATTTCTTGTTGTTAGTGTATAGGAATTCAAGTGATTTCTATATTAATTTTGCATCCGGCAAATTTGCCACATTCATTGGTGAGCTCTAGTAGTTTTCTGATGGCATCTTTGGATTTTCTGTGTACAGTATCATGTCATCTGCAGACAGTGACAGTTTTTCTTCCTTTCCAATTTGGATTCCTTTTCTTTCTTTCTTTTCTCTATCATACTGAGGACTTGAAAACTATGTTGAATAAAAGTGGCAAGAGTAAACATCCTTGTCTTCTTTC